AGAGGACGGTTGGGACTGAGGTGAGGGTCGCGACCGACGCCGGCCCCGCGGGGGTACCGGGCTTTGCTGCCGTGAGTCGTGTCCACGGCCGGTTAAAATACACGGCCGCTTCCCTTCTCCCTCACGTCGCAGGCAAACCCCAGCCGGGTTTACTCCTCAGAGGGGGCCACGCAGCTCTGAGCTGCTGCAATTTTCTTTTACAGCGTTATTTTTGACCAGAAGTTGGTTTAATTCCCCGTTCTAAACACAAATTCACTTCTGGTTCCCCATCACCAGCTACAACCACGCAGGAAGCTCAACCAAATAGCAAAAAAAGTACACAATTAATAATATTGCAATGAAATTACCATTTGAATTCAGTCATAACAATTTCAATTACACATACATCCTGAATTCCTCGCTTTAACATAATTAACAAGTCGGCAGTTCACTGCTCCCGTATTTATTCTTGACTCTGATAAATGTGCATAATTAAAAGCGTTATAAAAATCAGCGTTTGTGTTTTAGAAAGATTAAATTGCTACGCCTTCACCAGAGGGTCCCTGTTTAGTCCCTCCCGACGAGGTGCGTCTCCTGGGGCCTGTCGATGCGGAAGAGCAGCTCGGCAGGCAGGAGGTACCCCCGATACTGCACGCTGTCGGGGCTGGTGTCCTGGTGGTAGTGCCCTCCTTCCCCGTGGTGGCTGAAACAGTGGGTGTGCTCCACGCGCAGATCAAAGCCCTGTCACCAGAGAAAGGCCCATGAGCATGCGGTTTTAACTATGGTTAAAAGACCTGGGATAGTCTCTCCTTTGTACTGCGTATTTCCACGCATCTCAGAGCCAGCTCCAACCATTAAGCGGTGAAAACTTCCAAGATGCTTGTGAAACTAATAAGACAAAAGAAGAGGACTGTACAAGGCTTTACCATAGGACATCAAAGAGAAAAGAATTTAGAAACCCTGACAGCCCCCAACTTTTGGCGTCAATCTCCCAGAGATTTCTTTTTTTTTTTTTTTTTCCTTCTTTCTTTCTTTGCATTGGGATTAAATAAAGCAGTCACACGAAGGAACCCCTACCGGAAATCAGAGCCCCTTTGCACTGAATGCCACAGACCCATGCGATAAAGGGACAATCTCTACTCCAGTTCTGAGAGCCAGCTTAGATGAAAATGGGAAGAATAGTAAATAAAATAACAACTAGCATAGTAAACCGTGAGATCACACCCATCAGTTTTATGTATCATAGAATCATGGAATGGTTTGGGTTGGAAGGGACCTTTAAAGATGATCTAGTCCAACCCCCCTGCCGTGGGCAGGGACATCTTCAGCTAGATCAGGTTGCTCAAAGCCCTGTCCAACCTGACCTTGAACACCTCCAATGATGGGGGACCCACAGCTTCTCTGGGCACTTCTCCTTCCACTGTCTCACCACCCTCATCGTAAAAAATTTCTTTTTATATCCAGTCTAAATCTGCTCTCTTTCAGTTTAAAACTGTTGCCCTTTCTCATGTCACTACAGGCCCTGATAAAAAGTCTCTCCCCTTCTTTCTTATAAGCTTTAAGTATTGAAAGGCTGCAATAAGGTCTCCCCAGAGCCTTCTCTTCTCCAGGCTGAACAACCCCAGCTCTCTCAGGCTTTCTTCATAGGAGAGGTGTTCCAGACCTCTGACCATTTTCATGGCCCTCCTCTGGACCCGCTCCAACAGGTCCATGTCTTTCTCTGTGCCCCAGAGCTGGATGCAGCATTCCAGGTGTGGTCTCATGAGGGGGAGAATCACCTCCCCTGACCTGCTGGCCACCCTTCTTTTGATGCAGCCCAGGATATGATTGGTTTTCTGGGCTGCAGGAGGATACTGATGAGTAATGCTCTACTGCTGTCTCTGTAACAACACTCAGACATTTCCAGAACCATAGGCTTAGCCGAGTGCTGTTGAGCTTGCAGTGGATACAGATGGGAGTAACCCAGCTGCATCCACTACATAAGTTGCATTGGTTCTGAATGGAGCAGCTGTTGATGGCTATTTTCAAAGTACTCATCAGTTGATTCTGGGAAGATGCACACAATTTAGCCTTAGGCCAAAGGCTGCCACCTAATGACAGAATAAAGTCACACCCTTGAACATATCCAAGCCTACAGCATAGGCTCATTTAACTCTGGAAAAAATGTTTTTTCTATTACTTATGACTGCATTGTTATTTATAAAATAGTCATTTTCATCTATGGTTTCCTGGTTACTTTTAAATAAATAGTCTTCCTAATGATGAATATCTTAATGGCTTTTGAAACCAGATTGTTTTTTATCCTGAATTGTTTGCTGTTGAATTTAGTGCTTGTGACAGATGCTAGATAACTTTCTAGCATGAGGCTTTGCAGACTTTAATTTGCATTGGCAATTATGATATACATGCTTCACATATTTCGACAGAGCATTAGCAGAGACAGTTCTTACGAAAGTGAACTACAGGAACACACAGCTGAACAAGCTTCCATGCTCTTGACATTTCTCCCGGCGTGGCCAGCAGTGAATGCAAACTATGCTGTTGGGTTTCGGACGCAAACACTTGCACACTTGCAATTGTAACTGAACCATTGAGTTCAATCCATTATGAACAGCCACTAGGTTTCAGAACAGATTGACGTAGCCTCAATTCAAACCAGTGGCAGAAATGAGAAGCTTCTATTTCATTACACCACCTCTGGAAGAGTTTAACACAATACATACACACTCCTGTTCTTAAAAGGAAAATCACATCCAAGACAAAACTCATTACAAGTCTCAGTTTACACTTAGAAATGAGAAAGAGACTCACTGGATCTCTGGAAACTATTACTGGCTGACAAATCAGTGGAGCCTTCATTTCAAAGAATTTGAGCCAGTTATTCACATCCTCATCGGTATTCAGAGGACAGGCAGAAAATTCTGGAGGCTACAGCAAAAGTAAAAACTTTATAAGTGAAAGGAAGACACTTGTATCAAGATACTCTTTCTCTAGCAACATTTCCCCTCCCCATTATTCTGTTCACATTCCTTCTGGCCTAAAAGAAGCCCATAGTGCCCATTACTGTGTTTCTGCCAGAAATAGAAGTGACCAGAATATTGCTTCTTTCATTGCACAGGTAGTGGGAGAACTACTGAAGTGAGGATTCTCCTCCTGGTAAATTTTAGAAGCTCAGTTATTTTTAAAAAGTCTATTGCTTCTTTAAGTATCATCTCAGTTCGTGTACTTCATTTCAATTAATTTTACAATATTTCTACAGTTCTTTAGCTTCCCACGGATTTCAAAAGAAAAGATGACGGTATTAAGGCTAAGTAATACAGCATTACTAGTTTTGTAATGTCAGTTTTGTAATGCCAGCTCCTTACTTTAATACACTGCTTATCTTAACAGTTTATGCAAACATTTAAAAATACAAAACAAAGTCAAGGCACTAAGATGTTATACCCTGATTTATGCTTCTGTTTTCAGAAGGATGAAGGAAGTTACATGAACGGGGAACAACTTACCATAATGTGAATCTTTGCTTTCCCCTTCTGAATGATAAATGTACCACCCATCCCAACTGGCTTTTCTCCATAGTGTTTCTCTAAAATTTGTCTCAGACAAGACACAAAGTTAAGTTCCCCAGTTCTTCCATTGGCTTTCACTTCAATAACCTGGAGAATAAAGTTAATTTGTCACTGCTGTCTCCCACTCCAACAGTCTGCAAAGGTCTGTGGAAGCTGCTCTGAAATTCTCCCAAGCTTATAACCCAAAATTACTTTTTGAACATGTGAGTTTCCCTGCAAGTGCTTGCTCCACTTTCATCCTTCCAGTACCTGACCAACTCTCTTTCCTCACTTTCTGTTCAATGCTACCTTTGCCTGTGAAGGGTGCTGGGCAGCAAGTCATTTACTCATACATGAGACAATGATATAAGCAACCCCTTTCTGTCCACCAGCTGGCTTCCACTCTGTTATAAAGAAACTTTTGGAAATAGAGAAGACTGCTCAGTTTCCATGCAGTAGTCAGGTTTTTGACTGCTCTGCCAACACCTCTTTGTGCTAGCTGTGGTGGGGGAAGCACTTCTACAAAAAACTAGACAAGTGCCCAGACCTTATTTACACAAGTACATTGTACAACCATTACCTTAAATCACTGCTGATTTGGACTGGATTTGGATGGATGATTTATAATGGAAAAGTTTTAGTAAACTAATACTTCAAAAATACCTCAAAAATTCAAATGCCTCTCTGTCTCCACCAATTCTTCCCCTTGTTCACTGCCATCAGTTCCTTATGTTTGGATATTTCTTTCATGGAATTACTACTTTACTATTATCACAGAAAACTGATAGGAGAACATTGAAACATGAGTTTCCCTTCAGCCACAAAGCTCTACAAGCAAAGTCACCTTTGATCCAAGTACGTACCTTACCAGGTTGGCCCTCACTGGCATAAAGGTTGGCCAACAGCCCAAACTCACAGTCAGTATATTTACTGCTGTACTTCTCAAGCAGGCACCCTTTATCTGCAGGATTTATCTGAGCAATGTAGCTCCCATTTACAGCAGGCTTTTTTTCACTCTTAGTTTGAACAATAGGGATAAGCTGAGAAAAAGAACATGTAAGAACGAGTCAAGTGAGTCAATAAGAACACGTAAGAGTCAGTCAAATGAAGAGAACTCACATAAATGCAATTTAAGCTTTGGACCATGATCCCAAGAAATAATCCCCTTCGTCACACAGCTCTGTCTTTCAGGGTGAGGTCTGTACTGCTAAGAAAAATGCACTAATATTGTAATGTAATTGAAAACTCCAGAAAACAGTTTTAATTTTTCTGGACATTTAAATTTAATGTTATGTGAACATGAATGCTAGTGTTAAAAAAAAAAAAAAAAGAAAAGAAAAAAAAAAGAAGAAAAAAAGAGTCTAACCATTGAGATCTGAGGCCTACATGCAATTACTGGAATTCTATGAAATACTTTCTCAGTGTACAGTAACGACCACTCTTATGGTGGCCCAAATTTAATGCTGAGATGGACTATCTTATCTGCCAATAAATGCATCAAAAGAAGATGGCAAGACCAGAGGTTTATGCTTGAAAAGACTTTGACTAACAAAAGCCTCCACAGGCAGTAGTTTTCATCTCCCGCCTCTCCTGCGGGTGATCATTTTGTGTGTAGCATCTTTAAAATTTACAATGGTAAAACAAAGCCATCCAAGAGGGCAAAAGACAGGAAGTATTTTAAAGGCATTTACCAGTAACTTTGACAAGCATTTCTAAATCTTGTCATTAAAACCTCTGGTCAGGTCTTTGTCAATCAGTTTCAAAAAATCATGTTTCTTGCATGCTTCAAAGCAATCACATGCTTCCTGGAAAATTACAAGTTAAAAGTTAATCTTTATTATCTCAATAGTATGCACCTCATTGGATGGCCCTCTTCTGAATTCTTTCTAATGTGTTTTATGTGCTTTTGGCATGAGTGGTGTTTATTAAATATTTTGTTGTAAATGGGAAATTCCCAGCCCTGCTCTACTATTATGAATTCATGTATTCCATGAATTCATTCAGAACCATTACACTTATTCACTGACCTCAGCATTTACTCCAAGAATCTTAGATGAAGCAGCTCCAGCTCCAAGAATGAAAGCTCCAGGCAGTTCTATGTCTTTTGCAACTGTATTTAGATCATAAACCTGCAAAAGAGAAACAATCCTTTGATTTTGGTGTTGTGCTCTGGTTTGGAATTGTCATTCTGTTCACTGTAACCGCTGGATGCATTTAATTGACAACGCCCTCATTAGTATTTTGGATAATTAGGTTGAACACAGATTCTGAATAGCGTAACATTTGGTAGTAACAAATTTGGTACATGTCCATTTGTTTTCTGGAAGGTAAAGTCTGCCTGTATGTTTCCCTGCCATTTTACCCCAAAACTGAATTATTGTTCTTATTGAAATTTATACTTGTGTAAAATAAAAAATGGAAGGGAATATCATATAGAGACAGATGGGGTGAGGTGTCAGAAAGGAGGCGTGCATTCTTGGAAAAGGACAGTAACGTGAATCCAATGTTGGCCTGAAAATGCAAGTACAGCCAGCTTTTACAAAGCAGTGTGGCTGTGACTTGAAATCACAGGCATACAGCAAGCCATATATAAACATGCAGACAAGCCCCTTGTTTAGTAGTTCCTTCCATGGCTCCTGTCACAGATGGTACGTTTCCAAAACTATCTTGTATTTGAGGGCAGGAGAAGATGAACCATCAACCATGATATGCTATTTTTGCTACAATGTGTAAGATTTCCTGACATAGTCTATGTTTAACACACGTCAGAATCAATCTCATAAAACACTGAAAAGTAAGTCCCTTTCACAAATGGAATCTTATAGTATCCGTTAGTCCTTAGTTTTGTTTATATTTCAACAAGATATTACTTTTCTTTTGACAAATTTATTGAATCCCACAGCTACAGGAAAAACTCACTTTTTCTTTCTGTACAACAGGTATGAGGTAAGGAACACCTCCCACATCTGCTATTCTAGGCTTTCCGCAGATTCCTGGAAGAATACAGCTGGTTAGCTTGGTAAAATATTTTTTCCTAATAATGTTAAATGAGCATGCACCAAAGAACTGGTTCCTCAAACTTCTAAAACCCTTTGAAAACATGATTTCCCTAGCATGCTTAGGTAAAGTGTTGCACTATTACAAAGTCCAAGGACAGTAAGGCCTAAAATGATTCACAGTAGGATTTAATGCTAGGCAACCTGTTGTAAAATTAACATTCTCTAAGCACAAAAAAATATTACCGTGGGCAACAACTGCCACTTGCCAGTTCTCCAGTAAGATGCCCTCACCACACAGTGGATACCCCCACTGAGACTCCACTTGCAAAATTTCAGCAAAGCTGGATGCCCAAGTCTCAGGACAATTCATCCCATTTATTTGGACATGTATTTTAAGACGGGATGAATCACCTTCTGGAAGTGTTTCTTTCACTACATTGATGACAGAGGAAACTCAGATGAGTAGCACAGATGACATGTCTGTCTTCCAGACAGCTAATGTCAAAGATGATGAATCCCACTCAGAATAAGACAGTTTCACTTCACCGAAATACATGAATGGCAGGAATTTAAAAATGAATAGAAGTGCAACTCCTTAGGTTCAGATAGTGACTGGCATGGATCTAAAAAATTTCTCCATCTGGAAGATAACTTAATTTCAAAACCTTTCAGTAGACTAAATAAAGCTTATGAAATAAGTGAGTATTGCAACCATAGGTTAAGAACAAAAATTATGACAAGTACTTGGTAATGACTTGTCCTTGTTCATACATCTACTAGGAAGCAAATCCAGGAATAAAATCTGGCTTTGCTTTCATGCATATTCTTTAGCTGAAAAACAGTTTAAGCTCTCCCAACATCTTTAGAAGGTTAAAACGAAGTAGAATCAGGTAGAAAGAACTGGAGAAGTCTTAGTGGAAATCAGGAATGCTAGGTTACCTTTAGCAGGAAAGTTGAAGGGTTCCTGAGTCAGATCAGGACAGTCTACAACAGAGACTTGAGCATCAGCAAAGTTTTCTTTAAGCCCTTTCTGCAAAACTATAATAAAGAATAATGGCAAAGTTATTGACAATGAAAAATTATCAAGAGTTTGACAAGTTACTAACAACAATAAAAATATTTGTTTAGGCTTTATTTCAGCAAGATACATTAAAGGACTTATGCTTACCCTAAGTAACTCCATTAATTTAAATGTTACTGTCTGTAGGCACTTGTTTTCTGTGTCAGAGCTTCAAAGAAGAGCAAAATCTTGTGCAGATAATTGTTAGCTACCACATTAATTAATTTTAAGAATTTTAAAAACCTTTTAATTGAAATACAATGTGAAGTAACATGGGTAAACTTAAACCACATTCAGCAGTGGTTTTGCTTCACAAGAGCAGACAATTATGATCACGGTCAAGTATCATGCAAGAGCAAAGGAGGAAGTAAGTTTTAGCTAAAGTGACAATCAGTTCTTTAAATATATTAACTAGACTGTTTGCAAGAGCTTGATTATAATTTCAAACTGTCTCTGCTGTCTGGAAACTTCTGCTGTCACAGGATATTGCCTGTCATGTTTACATTCATGTGGAGATTTTCTGGCAAATGCCACTATCAGTACAAGACAGATAATGAATGGTGCTGATGATAATGAACAGCCCCAAATCTAAACCTTTGGTTTTGCTTCATATCAATGTTTTTAGGCTCAGAACCTGCAAAGTCACTCAAACAACAGGGAGGACTCTGACTTAGACAAGGGCACTGTTTGGAAACAGCTTCCAAACCTTAATTGAGTGTGGGATTGCCTTCACATACACTGTTTCAAATACCATGTTAAAAGGTCCAAGTTCTTCCATGCCTGGGGGTCTGCTTTGACAGATGTCTCAAACTAAGGAGCAGAAAAACCTGTCTGTGATCTCAAATCAGGGGCAGTTCCTTATTTACTCAGAAGACTTTCCTGAGCCTTTGTTTCCTCTAATCAGGATTTCAGCTGTATCTACTTCTCGGGAGCAGATTTACCAAGCTGTTGACCACAAGGGTCCGTAGAAGGTACTTGGCAGGTTTCTAAATACATCTCAGTGCCTTCTGGTAAGTGGAGAAGGACAATAAAAGGCACTCCTCAAATTATACTCTAGAGCTGAACAGCAACAAAATTCACAGCTTACAGGAGGTCCTCAGGACAGATGGGGGTGGGAAAAGGAAAAATCTGCTTCATGACTCATTTTTTCTGCTACTGTTTTAAGCTGTTCTACTGCAAGTATATGCTCTTCTCTGCAGAGCCCACAGGTCTATAGCAGCTCTGGCCTATTGCCCCAGCCTGACAGCTGCTAGGTGAGAAAAGCACTGAGAACCACCCGGGGTATTGCTGGGACCACACTTTCTCAAAGCATGGAAAAATCAAACTGACACAGATTTGGGAGAGTGGCAGACTTAACTTGAGGACCTCCCTGAAAGAAAAAAAATCCTTTAGTACATCTGCTGCAGGAGACAGACTGCCAGAAGGAATAATGCCTTTCTACTAGGGCAAGGAAAGAAGCTCATGAGCAGGTGGGTTAGACCAAATCACCTCCAGGTGCCTTCCAACCTCAACCGTTCTGTTATTCTGAGCACATTTTGTGAAGGCTTTGGAAAGAAACAAACTAAATGCTTCCTGCAGCCTGGTTCTAAGGCAATCACCAAAAGAGGAGCCAACTAGGTTCAAGCAAGAGGACCTGCCATGCTATACTGCATCAGCTGTGTTTTGAGCAGTCCTGAAAAAGAAAGAAATGCTGGAGGGTTGAGGAGGACAGATGATCCTGTACGTGTAAATAAGTTTGGTCTGTAATTATCAAACTTTCACAACCCATGTGCAAATCTGCAAATACAGCAGACAGTTTTAAAGGGTTTGAGAGCCTGTTTGTGTGCTTAAATGTCATTGGGGTTTGGGGGAGGAGTCGTTTGCTTTAAGGAAATAACAGCATATAGAAAAAATAGTGCTTTTCTTTACATCCCTGTGTGCTAAGAGAAGGAACATTCTGCATGTACTAGCTGTAGAAAGGTTTTGATAAGAGCTTTAAGGTAAGTTTGAAGAGTACATTATAAGTTTGTAAAAAGTTACATGCTGCATGACTTACCCCCAGCAAGCTCCTCCAGACTTGGAACATGAAAAGCAAACCTTTCGACTTTGGCCATTTCCTAATTGGTGCTGATTTCTTCAGGTAAGAAATTACAATATACCACGCTGTAGGAGCGACTGATCTGTCAACAAGGATAATAGTTTAACAATTAAACCGGGCTGTTTTCAATATGTTACTTATATTTCAGTTTCACTCAAGAATATACAGACAACAGTAGAATTGTAGTTCTGCCATCAAAGGAAAGACTAACAGCTTCAATATTAATGTTAATTTTCTTATGCGCTTTGGAAGAAGATAGCTGGTTCAGAGCATTACATATTCTAGTCCTCAAGCTTACAGTTGGCTGTAGGCAAAACACATCCTACGCTGAATCCAGTTCAAGGGACAGGTCAGGAGATTTATCTGTCCTTTATAACCCTGGAGTCATAATTTGTTTTTGAAAGAAAACTGGGCTTTTCTGAGCACATTAGCTGCCTCCTCAGGTCTTCCCTACCTTAATGTTTACTTTTCCAGCATTGGCTATGGTGGACTTTCAACCTCAGCTGTGACATGGTCTCCAGTTGATTCTGGGCATGTGTTTTCCCTTCCAGAGGGGAACAGGCTAGCAGCAAAATAGAAAACAGCAGCAGCAAGTTCTGCAGTATCAGGCTCTGTACGGGTACAGAGTTTTGTTTGAACATAAGTTTAAGAACCCCTTTACAAATGAATTGTATTTCAGTCAGCCTTGCAATAGCAAAGTCAGCTACTAGGGCAAACCACTAGCTCAAGGCAGAAACAGCTGATTACACACTACCTATAAATCAGCCACAGCAACCATTAACTCCTTAGTCACATGCTTGCTGCACACAGCAGAAAAAGAAAATGGGTCCCACTTATCCAGATCTCAGGCCTTGGAGGAAAAAGCCAAAAACCTAATTACAATCCCAGCCCTGACAGAGCTTTTGTTAGGAAGGACCATGATGTGAGCTAGCTGTTTATGTATACTTTTAGCTTCCATTTAAAAAAAATCCTAGCTTTTATGATTGTCAAAAATCATAACTGTCCTTACACCATCAGCCTCTTGAGCCTGCATAAAGGAAAAAAACCCAGCAGAAAAAAGAAATAAAGCGTTGGGAGATCATAGCAGTCACCTAACTGAAGTCTCTGAGCTCAAAGTTCAGCCACCTCAAATTACTGCTGTAGCAAGCAGTAGAGAAAGGGAGAAAGACAGCTACCTGTGTATAGTAATTCTCATCTTAGTTGGTCTTATCCATCTCCACAGGTGCCTCCCTCCCTCCTCTGGCTGTGGAGGAGAAAGTAACAGGCTGGATTTGGTGCCTCTGGTAGAAGCCTACTGTCAGATGGAGTGAATCATACCCCAAGACTTTAAGTGTGCATCGAACACAAGAAAGGGAGTAATTAGTCAGAGAAAGAAAGTGAGAAGATGGCTTTGGCAGCATTGTTTTAGATGATCCTCATCCCCTCAAGAACCTTTTGCCACGTCCAGAAGGAGGCTATGCCAGCACTCAAGACACCCGTTGAAAAAGTCCTGAAACAGACTGAGAAGACAGGCTAGAACTGCTGTTGTGCAAAAGGCAGAGGCAAGACTTGGACACAGTTCAAATAAGTAGGCTCAGATATAACAGCTAGACCATCACCTGCTGTTTGAAGGACAGTAGTCAGCTCCCTGCAATCAAGAAAGGAGTGAAAAACTGTGGGAAAAGCTTGAGGTACCATAATAAACCTGATCTGATTGCTAGACAGTAGTCCTTACCAGTAAGGACACAAAAGAGCAGTAGATCTGTGAGTCACCAAGGAGAGCATTCACAGGGAAGTTTGTGTGGTGTGGGAGAGGGAGAACCTGAAAGGAGACAACAACAGACAATTAAGATTCGTTATGGAGGGGTGGAGTGACATCGAATTACTACAGAAGACTTTCAAAGAAATAACACAAATGCTAAAGGGACGATAAGATTATTAGATCCGGGATGGTACAGACTTTAAAAAGACTTTAAAAGTCTATCTTTTTGAAGCATGAAGAAAACATCAGAGAGAGTAGTCAAGGGCCAGGAGAACGCAGATGAAGTGGGAACCATGATATTAATGGGTGCTTGTCTAGTATCAAAACCTGAATTAAAACTAGTTTGGAGGGTAGAAGCCAGAAAGGAGAGATTATAGGCAGGCTAGAGATGAGTCAAGGTGGGGGTGAAAGAAATATCAGGGAAAAATTGAAGATGGCAGTCAGTGAGAGAAGAGGTATTTAGTGATGACACCAAGAGCAAAATATCCACAGATGTATCCACAGCGGTTGTATTCCTCAACTGGAGCGATGTAAGGAAATCCGATACATGGCAGAGGAAGGCTGCAGGACAGCGGAGGCATCTGCTTGAGCAACTGGGATTTGAGGAAGGGATGGGTCATGGCAGAGCAAGAACAGGTGGGCCAGGCGAGACCGAGCATCCAGGCAGTCAAAGGCAGCAAAGTGCGCTGGAGCAAAGAAACACTAAAGCTGATACTGCACTTGGCATGGCTGCGAGAGGAAAGAAGGGATTGTTCAGTCTGGAGCCGCCAGCTCGGGGGAGACTGGGCGGCAGAGGGAAGGAGAGGCAGGACAGCAGTAACGAGAGGCCAACCCGGGCAACGAGCAGCTCCTCGGAGTCTCACACCGAGCGGGAAGCGCGGGAACTGCGCCCTGAGGGGGAGCCCAGACCCTCCGGGCGAG